CATCAGGATTTTTAAGAGTCCCCCAGGTGATTCTAATGCATGGGCAGGGTTCAGGGCCACAGCCTGGAACTCTAGCCTCATGTCTACCAACACTAAGGAGACAAAGTCTTTCAGAAAGACATCTTAAAAACAAAAATAAAATTTTAAATTTAAAGTTGCAAATCTGATTAATAGTACTCTTCTATTTCACACGGACCTATAGGTACCAAAGGCCTAGATTCGTATGGCATTTGCTGTTAAAAAGGTAAGTGAGCGGCTAAGTTTGTTATCACTGTGTTAACCATCACAGACACCTGTGCACAGACAAGGCACTTCTTTAAAGAAAACTTTCAGAGGAACTGGAAAAGTGCAGCTCACCGAGGCATGCAGTTCTCCAGGTCCAGCCCCTGCAGTACCGCTCACCCCACCAGACATCGGAGAGCTGCAGGCACGGCCACACAAAGCAGCCCACCAGCATGGACTTGGCCTACTTTGGACTGACTCCTGCTTGGAAATTACAGATATGATGAGACGCCTTGCGGTTCACAGGATAAAGAATAATCAGATGAGGATAAACACTTCATAAAATACACAGGTGGAAATAACTTCAGAGTCATTAAAGGCACAATTATTAGCAAAATTAGGTATTAAAGTATGAGAATACCCTCTAATTTGTATGACCTGGGTTGAAGAATAAGGTCATTTTTTTCCAAAATATTATTTTACAGAAAGAATGGACAAATGACACTAAATTCCAGGGGGAAAGGAATCTGTTATTAGAGTAATAATGGGAGGGAGGAAACATGCCTAAATTCTGCATATTCTGCTTTATTGATGAATTAGAAAAACTTCAAATACAATAAAAAGTATGTAGAAAGACCAGAAGCATTGTTCAAATTTTTATCAGTTTCTACTTCACCATGTGGTTATTTGTCAAACTGATATAAAATGTTGACATTTTGCATGTCTTACATTGCATTTTACATAGAAAAGCCTGCCTTAGCTCATGAAAATTATTTCTGCTACAAATATTTATAAGCCTCATCAGAAGTGATAATTCAAATATCAAGCCCAGAAACATCTTTGAAAAACTACTGTGTGAAAGATCTTGCTGAATCAAGCACCAAGGGAGGGCACAAAAGCAACGGAGTCTTTGTTCTTCGTGTGACTTATTAATTAAAAGAATAATGAGGAATTTTTATAGCTAGGCTTGTGCAAGCATTAAGAACCAGCTTTCTCTGGACACAATCCTTCCCTTGTTTATTTCAAAGCATAAAACTTGGCAGACATGGCCTGAATGTATTAAAGACACATAGACAATATTTCTCTCTGACTCCGAGAGAAACGGGAGAGACAGAAAACAAGAAAAATTATCACATGCTTCCTATAGAATGGATGATGTGAAACAACGGATTCATTGAAGGCTGAGAACAGCACACACACCCTACAGCTGAGCACTCTCTGATGCGTTTCCTCACACTCACTCAAAGACAAGCTTACAAGCAATTTCAATTTTAAAATTCACATAAATGATGTTTCCAAAACAGGAGACTCGAGTGGAAAGACCACCATTTCCCTGCAGCATAAGCAAAGAGTAAAGCTGCCCCTCCTTGTAAGGAGTGTTATTACACAAATCACCCAAGAGCCAAGGGGGTCCCATGTGCACGTGCACGGCACCTCCCCTACACATACTCCCCAGCACTGCACCCTGCTGCTGGTTTTCTGCTGCTTTCACTGAGACATTTGCTTTGTCTTCACATTCAATTTAGGAGTTCATTCAAATTCATTTTGTACTGAAGTTAGAGCTATTTAGTCCTCCGTAGGGCCCAGAATATAATGCAAGTATGTGTGTTCCACAAGCATGATACAAAACTTTATTTATGAATAAATGTGTTTTTATGCCTGCAACATGCTAGAATTCATTTATAGCAATATATTTCTTTTTAGCTATGTTACATTATGTACTTTTTAAGGATTGGCAAAATGGTACAGTTTAATCAGATTTAAGGTTTTTCTACTGATTTACAGGATACAATATCTTGCATTTCTGATCCCCAACTTTTCCCCTACAACATGTCTTTAAAATTACTTGAAATACATATTCAAAAGGATGCTTCCCCTGCAAAAAGGGGAGGGGCTGTCTTATACACCACACACCTTATATACTGGGAAATATATATTCAGACTTCTCAATGACAACATATCAGCGCTTATGAGGAAGGGATGTGGGAAGTAAGGATGGCGGGAGAGAGGGGAAGGGTGATAAGGAGGGAAGAGACAGGTTCTCCTAGAACAAAAATCAACAGTACACACTCCTCAGATTCCTACTATATTTATATACACACTTCATTGAACAGTATGAAACACAGTTGTTAGGGTGATGTTAATGTTACTATTGTTGGTTCATCTTCTCTAATTTCTACTATCTTCCTCAGCTCTATCAGGCTCTAAATGAACACTCTCTATTCTATGGTGACCAGGGTTAAATATTATCGATTGGAATTATGAAATCTTTCAGAGACTGGCCTACAAATCCTTCTTGATTTGTCACTCAGATGGTTTGGACAGGGGATGAATAGGTCTCTACCGACCCATTTTTCCGGAGAAGTCTTACTATGTTCCCTGAATATGTATTTCACTTTTATTTGTTTAAACCAGTGGTTCTTAAACTTCAGTTTTCATCAGAATCACCTGGAGGGTTTGTTAAACCACAGGCTGCTGGGCTCTACCCTCAGTTTCTGATTATGTAACAGGTGGGCTCTGAGAATCTGCATTTTTAACAAGGTCTCACCTGATGCTGATGCAACTGGTCTGGGGACCACACTTTGAGAACCACTGGTTTAAGAAAGCTCTCTACTGGAAAGGCACTGTTCTAGGATTTTACAAGAACTCCACTCCATTTACTACCCATTTTAACCCTTGGCACGTTACTTAACTCTGCTTTCCCCATTTCTTTTTCTACAACCAGGGCAGGGCGTGGGGATGACTCCGACAAGACTTGCAGCAGCAGGCAAAGAAATGCAATAATGAAAATCCAAAAGCAGTTTGAAACAACAACAAAACAACAGGACAGATTTAAGGGACACTGGAGGAGGAGAAGGGAACAAAAATGAACTTCAAAGGACAGCTGCAAGGAATGAACTCAGCAAAAACACGAATAAAGGGGCACATATTCCTACCTTCAAGAGCCTCAGAAGAAGAAATGGCCCCTGCTTGAGGTCCAGGGCCAGGCCCACCACTCATGCTCTGTATTTCTTCTGGGTTTTAGGCCCCAAAGCCCTGTGATTTCTTTATTATCCTCTTCTGTTCAAATCTTTCACCTTCCTCTCTCTGCTAATTCCTTCCTACCCAAATACCAGTGTGCTGCCATCTTTTCTATCTTCACAACAACAAAAAACAACTTTCTCTCCGCCTTGCCCCCTCTCCAACTACCAACCTATCTCTTCTCCTTCCCTTCACAAACTCCACCCCCAAAATAATCCACAGTCCTTTCCTACTCAAACTATGCTCCTCAGACCAGCACTATCAACATCACCTGGGAGTGTACCAGCACTGCAGGATCTCAAGCCTACTCCCATTTACCCTATTTACCTGTTTTCCTTCTTGCTTTGATAATGGAATTGATATTACTCCATTGATTTTTCCCTGTCTAAACTACAGTCTACAGCTATCTAACTGGATTTTACTCACTCCACATTGAATTTATTCTAAAAAAAATTTCAAGATGTCTAGGACCCAAATATTAAATTCAGACTCCTCAATGGTACCTTTAGATTTCTAAAAGAATCTAAAAAATCAAATATAGACACACAGCAGGGCATTTAAAAATGCAGACAAAACCTGCAAAAAAATAAATATAATCCTAAGTATAAGGACCAGACTGAAGTTTACTACAGGTTAAACTATTCAAAGAAAATTACACTGAGAAAAGATCCTGGAATTCAAAGAAAGGTACTTTGAATAGTTTTAGCTTTTGTTCCATAGGTGAGAATCCAAAAATTGTCACTCTTCATTTCTTCATTTATTCTATTCTGATCAAATTACTGTATGAACAGATGGCCCACTCAAAGGGAGGAGCCCTGATACTCAGCCTACCTTAGTGAGTTTCTCCTTCCCTAGGATGTTTTGGTCTTGCCCTCCTGATCCTCCTCCCAGCACTGTAGAAGTTTGGTAGATCCCCAGAAATGACAGATCAGCCCGGCCACCTTGTTCCAGGTATTAACATTCACATAAAACATGTTGAAACTTATCCATTCAACAAATATCCCCAAGCACCCCACCCCATGCCAGGCACTGTGCTAACCCCAGAAATAGAGCAGTGATGAGAAAAAGCACACTCCTTCAAGCATGTTTAGGTCCTACAGGGAAGACAGGTTGATTAACCAATTATAAATCGGCTCACAAATGCTGTGAAAAGTACAGAATAGTATGCCTCCCCCAGCAGGAGAATCTAATCTAGTCTAAAGAGGCAGTCAGCAAAGGCAGAAAGGGTATTAAAACTATATCAAAAAAAAAAAAAAAAGAATAGTGCCCAACCGGACAAAAGGGATTGAGAGACTATATCCTGCAGAGAGAAACAACAGGTGTAAAAAGCCTTGAGCTGAAAGAGAACAAGGTGGATTCGAGTAAGTGAAAGACATTTCATGTGTTGCAGTGCAGAATGTGGAGGACACAGTGACAGGATGGGCTAGAGAAGGAGGCAAGCGCCAAACTGTGTAGAAGCATGTAGCTTATTTTAAAGGCTGTGGATTTATCCTACAATGAGAGGACCTGAGTCTGGGCTGCAGCCTAGATTTGAAAGTGGCAAGGCTGCAACCGTAAACATGGAGTCTAATTGAGATAAATCAGGCAGGGCCAAGGAAGTGGCACTGCAAGGGAGAGAAATGGAAAGAATCCAGGGATACACAGAAAGTAGAGGCACCTTAATTAGGGGATTACCTGGACATTCACGATACCTTCCAGGAACCCAGCTCAGGCAAAAAAGACAGTTGCATCACACAGCGGGACACAGAGCCCTGCACCAGGAGGAGGTGTGGCAGGGCTGATGACGTCCATCTGGAACACGGAACACGGCACACCTCGGGACGCCCGGCTGCCCTCACCTGAGCCCAGCCTCTCGCCTCTCTCTTCCAGGCCCAGGACCGAGCTGGTGGGTGTTCGGCCCTTCCCACCATTCCTACCAGAGCCAGCTCTTCTTACAACTGACATGTTTTCATTTCTAAATGGCTGCCTTGTCACTAGCAAAGCCATTTAAGATTCGGAGCTTTTATTTAGCCTTAACTTTAATTTCTTTGTATGTTGATGGTCTCTAACATCAAAATATTAATTCAATTTTTACATAATGAGTAAAGCATGTCTAATGTGTAATTATCAATGTGCTTTAAATTATTTTGGAGCCTTTCATGAGATTCCATATTAAATTAGCGGCACATTTCCTGATGTTTACATACATTATGCATGTATGTTTTAAATCAACTGCAATTTTAAGGAAATTTGTATTATAAAAGCTTATATCAAAACTAAGAAGGGAAATGCTTATGCATTCATTTTCCATGCTCTTTCAGCACCTGTGCAACAGAGAAGGCCACCCCCCCTGCCCCCAACCTATAAATGCTGAGCTCCAAAGCTAGTGACTGTAGGTCAGTTATTTGTGATGTGTCCTCAGTATGTGGTTTGGGACAGGCTGGGATGGGACAGAGGCTGAGTGGGCCTGGGCTGGAAAAGTAGCAGTCGGGAGACAAAGACAGGCTCCAAGCTGGGTCTGGCGAGGTGCACACGGGCAACCAGGCTAACCGGACCCTTTCTGACCTCCCGTCAACACTGATCTAGCTAAAAGTCTTTTCCTGAATCCAAACTCACACCAACAGGAGAAGTAGGGTCTGGGACAGGCACGGGAACACTGAGGATTTGATCCTCAGAGTATAAAACAGGAAAGGAGACAACAGGCAAGGAGGTGCATAAACTGAAACACTGTCAGCTAGAGGGGAGGGAAGCTCCTAAAGCCATCTGGTCGGTCAGCTGTTTCCCAGGACCTAAAACACAGAAGGGCTAAGTCCAGCTCCGAAAGTCATTATGCTGCTGCTGTGCACACCACCGCCACCCACCCCCAAGCACTCTACACAGTCGCTCTGAATTCAACGAACATTTACTATAAATAAGCATGGAAATCGGTGAACTGTTCTGGTTTAATTTTCTCTTTCTTTTCCCTCTAGCCAGTTGCTCCTCCAGTAGCCTAGCTATCATTTACGAAGACACCAAATACATAAATTGTAGGGGGAAAAGCATACACTTGACACTTCATCTATATCTACTTCCCTCCAGGGAATGCCAAATTACTGTATAATTATACCTGTCCAGATTCCCCTTGCCTGCCCCACTTTCTCACACACACATACTCAAATTTTAATCCAAAGTCTGCTCACTGAAGTTCTGTACCATTATTCCCACTAACAAAGCCCTATTCCTGTCACCGTGTCCCCTTCAACCCCTAGTCAACATTTAAGAACAGCGACTGACACCTTCCTGGCCAGTCTCTAGGCTCTGGGTCTTCCTCACCTACCAACTCAGACACAGATGAAATTCTTGCCAACATTATGAGGCCATCCTTAATGGGAAGCTGTTCTAGATTAAAGAACATAGTTTTTCTCACTCATTTTGTCCCATATAGATCAAGAAGACTCTTGGCAGAAGAAAAAGTAGGGCCATTCTAAATTATTCATGACCCCCGCCCCTTCCCCACTCTATAAATTAGGATGCGCTCAGATACATGGAAGAGAACACATGGACAACAATGGCTTAAACCCTTGCTTATTTTTTTAAACATTCCTAATAAAGTCATCCTAGCGTTGCTTTGACTGCTCAGCAATGTTGAGAAGGACCCAGGTCCTTTTCCTCCGACTATTTCACTATCCTTAGCATGCTGGCCATTAATTTTTCAATATTGCCTCACAGTTGCAAATTGGCTACCACAGATCCAGGCATCCTCGTATCTTCAACTGGCAGTGCTGCATGCAGAAAACAAGTGGTTGAGGTTAAAAAAAAAAAAGGAAAGAAAGAAAAATTTAATTGCTCTCTTTCATGAGCCTCAATCTCTTTATACAGAAAGGCAAATCTTTATCAAAGGCTCAGAAGATTGCTTTTTACCTTTCATTGGCCCCTGCCCAACCTTAGAACAATATTGGCAAAACAAATCTAAGCCTTTCATGGATTAACCCACTGGGAATAAGCACATCTCTGCCAAAACAAAATTAGAGTGCTTTAGAAAGGAAGTAGGAAGCTAGATACTGAGTAGACAACTAACCATGCCTACCAGCCATCACCCAAACGGACTTTGAGAAATGTGTCACTGGATTATCTGGGCTTCTTTGATCCTTCCCGCCATCCTTCCTCCCACTACTAAGGAGCATTTAAGTAAAATTACAACGTGGCATAATTCTAAGAGCGAGTTCTATTTATCCCTTCTGTGTACAGTCTAGTCCTTTAATAAATGTAATAAGTAGATCTCTCTAAGAAGCTGTAGAAAAATAAATCAGAATAAAGAAACAGCTGAGTTACTGAAATGCTGTATAAACTACGTCATGCTTTTTTATTTGTTTACTTTGCCATTTCAGCTCTGCTTTATTGAATTCTGGGTTGCTTGGTTGCTTCAATGGATAGTTGATGCTGTAAATTAAGTTCCCTAGCCTCTCTGTCAAGAAGCAGTCCATTCAACATTTATTGAGGGCCAGCTGTCTCTAGCCACTTGAGAAGAGTTGCATATGTAAAGCAACCCTGAAAATTCCAGAAGAAAATCTTGAATCATATAAACATATCTATAATATAGTTTTGATTCTCAGGTATGGAGTTTTCTTAGAGCAAGTCAGTCTTTCAAATTATACATATTTAAATAATGCTGTGTTCCTTCTTTATTTCCCTATCAATCTAATATCCCCCCTTTGTTAGGTTTTGTTCCGTCCCCTTTAATAGTGACTCTATTTATCAGAATCTATCTGTTTATTCCTCATTTTTCAAGCTTAAGCTAACAGATGGAGAGACAAGTTTCTTACAAACATCTGTGCAGAAACGCTTTACCTATAGCTCCTGCTGCGAGTAAAACTGACTTTAATTGTAGGGTATTTGAAAATTTCTCTCCACAGGTGCTGCAAGTGCAAGTTTTCAGTGTGAGAACAAGTTCTTACCTAGGCTCTCACCGTCAGGCACATTCGTGTTCCAAACAAATCACCCACACCACTAGAGCAGTGGTATAAACAGACCCTTGACAGTAAACGACAATTTTGATATCACAGATGTTTATAAGAGTCTGTTTAAGATTACTGGAAATTTTTATGTGTGTGGCATTATATTAATCATATAACTGCACCTAAAATAATTAAGAATATTGATTGCATTTGCATTCATTGAGTACAGAGCCCATTACCTAGAAAGACTCTAGAGAGACTAAACTGTGGCTATAAATTGTATAACACCATTTTCACTCACATAATAATGAGATTTTAGTAACATCTGGGTATTAGATTAACGAGTTTTCCTGATAATACCCAAAACTAAAGTGAGTACCCTATTACCCATAGCAGGCATGTGTGCATCACACCTGCACACCCCTAAAGTGACAGTCATAGTCCTTCCATGGCTCCTTTCCCTCTGCCCACCCCTGGGATGTTGGGATCCCCAGTGCCAGGCACCCCCCCAACCCCCACAACCCTCAGCTCTGTTCTCCCTGTGAGTCTCATCTATGGCTAGAACTTCAATCATGATTTAAATGTCAGTGGATCCTAAGTCTGTGTCTCTATTTCCAGCCTGCTCATCCCCTTTGACTTTAAGGACCATCCTTCCACCTTCCTTCTACATAATCCCTGTATATTCAGGGATCAGGGATTAGCCTACACTCAGACAAACCTGGACTCAATATTTTATCATATAAATTTATTTCAGTGTTCACTATCCATATTCAAAGCATTGCAATAAATTCAATAAACTGGGTTTGGAAACCTTATTATCCCAAATCCCTCTATGTCCCTTAATCATACTCTGAAATCATTCACAAATATCTGAAGTGTCTACTCTAAAATCATGCATATATGTCTGACCTTTAAGTTCTCACTATCATAGATTGATTTCAATTCATCATTCTTCAGATGGGTTTTGGCAAATATGTTTAAAACCGGTCTCCTTGCTTCCAATCACTGCTATGGCCAGAAACATCCTCTCTGCCCCACTTCCATGTGACAAATATTTATTGAGCACGTGCTGTATGTCAGTCAGGGTTTGGGGTGGGCATTGAGTAGAGAGTGCTGAGCAAATCAAAACCCACTACTCAGTGAACTTAAACTCTAGCTCAGGAGATAAGGTAGCAATTACATAAACAAACAATCCACAGGGGATGTTTGGATAAAGAAAAACTAGTGGGGAGTGCTATGTATATAGAGCGGTCAGAGAGGAGGTATCATTTAAAATAAGACCTCTAGAAAGGGAAGAAACCAGTCACAAAGAGATTCAAAAAGAAGCACATAACAAAGGTCCAATGCTGGAAGGAAGCCCATAGTGGCTGGGGCCCTGTATACAATGGGGTGGTTGTATGAGACAAGGTGGAAGAGGTAAACAGAGGTGAAATCACTCACAGCATCACAGGCCCTGATTACAAGTGTGAATCAAATGTGAAGCAAAATTGGGAGCTGGGGAAGGGTTTTAGGCAAAGGATTTTACATTCTTTAAAAATCACCAGAATTGTTTACCAATCCCAATATGAGGGCCAATCCTCTGCATCAAAAAAATTATATGGCTCCTGATGAATGGAGTGACCACATTTCCAGCATGCTCAGGAGTTGGTTTCCACCTGTCGTCCTAGTATAATCATTAACAGTTCCCTACTTTCACTCTCACAAGGGCCCTAGGAGACAATAAATTGTATGGTCAACTTAGTGATAGGAAATAAACTAAAACAGTCCTTAGGCTGTCATTCAAGGCCCTCTGATCCTGGTCCCAATTCACTTCTCTTCCTTTCTTCCTCATGGTGTTCTGGTCACTTCTGAAATGTAATGCTGACAGTATCCTAAATGGCACATGTATTCTTTACTGCTCTGCCATTGGTCACGTTCCTGCCTCTTGCTGCACGCTCCGTGACCATGCCTAGTAGACAGAACCTTGAGGGCCAGACCTGAGAAGTCTTCAAAACCAGGCAGAATGAATGGCTTCTTCCTCTGTGCTCTGTCAGTATCTTTATTAAAGCATTTATCACACTGGGTTAATTATTTATAGGTCTATCTTCCCTGCTAGAATGGTAGGTACTTAATGGCAAGGACAGCACCTCCTCTTACATGTTTTTTGGGTCCCCACCACCCACTGCATACCTGGTACATAGCTGGTACATGATATATGACTGCTAGATGAATTATTTAATATAAATGCAACATAACATACATAGTAAAATAATAAGGTTAAGTAATGAGATTTTAAATTTTATCCAGTAAGTTAAAACATTATTGTCTTCACATCTAGATATTTTCATTCTCCAACTTCATCCCAATATCTAATGTAGCCTCATTCATCAGGAAGTAACAATAAACGTTTAATGAATGACTACAAGTAAAAAAAAAAATCTTTATCGGGCAAGAAGTCTGGTTTTAGGAAACTAAACAATTTCTAAATAATTGTGAAGATGAAATAAACCAGAATTGGTATAACCACTGTGGAAAATGGTATGGAGGTTCCTCAAAAAGTTAAAAATAGAAATATCATATGATTTAATAATTCCACTATTGTATATTTACCCAGAGAAAACTAAAACCCTAACAAGAAAAGATATATGCACCCCTATGTTATTGCAGCATTATTTACAATAGTCAAGACATGGAAGCAACCTAAGTGTCCATCAATAGACAAACGGATAAGGAAAATGTTATACATACACGTAGACACACACACACACACACACACACACACACAATGGAATATTACACAGCCATAATAAAGGATGAGATCGCGCCATTTGAGGCAACATGGAAGGACCTAGACAGTATTATACTAACCAAAATAAGTGAGACGGAGAATAGTAAATACCATATGATTCCACTCATAAACAGAATCTAAAAAAAAAGAATAAACAAACAAAAAGCAGAATCAGACCCATAAATACAGACAACAAACTGATGGTTGCCAGAGGGAAGGGGGCTGGGAGACTGGGCAAAATGGGTGAGGGAGAGGGGGAGATACAGCCTTCCAGTGATGGAACAAGTAAGTCCTGGGAATAAAAGGCACAGCATAAGGAATACAGTCAATGATAGCGTAATAGTGACGTAACGGGACAGATGGTAGCCACACTTCTGGTGAATACAGCATAATGTAGAGAGTTGTCAAATCACTAAACTGTATACCTGAAAATAATGTAACATTGTGTGTCAGCTATACTCAATTTTTTAAAAAAATTAAATTAGAAGTAAACAATAAAGGGGCACCTGGGTGGTTCAGTTACTTGGGCAACCAATTCTTAGTAGCTCAGCTCATGATCTCAGGGTCATGAAATCGAGCCATGTGTTGGGCTCAGCACTCTGCACTGAGTCTGCTTGAGATTCTCTCCCTCTCCCTCTGCTCCTCCCCTCTCCACTTGCTCGTTCTCTCTAAAATGGATAAGTAAGTCTTTTAAAAAAAGAGTAAATAATAAAGACCCAGAATGACGTTTTCATACACTCACCACTCTTAAACACTCCCGCATGCATCCTGCTCAGAAGAAGTTTGTGGCGTAATTGCAGAACTTCAGCTTCCAAAGCTTGAACTTTTGATCTCCATGTTGACTCCTGCTCAGACACCACCTTTGCAAGGTGCTCTGTGTATTCTCTGCTGCTTGTGTCTGCTGGTGTTGAGCGGATAATTGCCAAGGCCAGAGCCAGCTTTGATGTTCTCAAATACCATATTTGATCATCCATCCTGGCTTTTGTCCCTATCATTTAGTAAGAAAAAAAGTTGCAGAAATTTCTTTTAACTTTTGTAGTGCATTTCATTTGCTCAAAATTGATTTTGCAGAGTAACGTTAATTAATAAGTTTGTTAAAGAACTTGACACCAAGTAACAGAAAAAAATTTCTCAGGAGCTGAAGAGCGTATGAAAAAATATGCAAAAGAAAAATGCATACACATGCATATTAAGTGTATTAAGATTCAAAACAGTAGGTTCAGACAATTTGACAAATTCCTGGGGTGGAAAAAACACACATTAATTCATTTAGTGTTTTCTAACCAGAGGCACACATCAGAGTCTCTAAGGGAGCTTTAAATATATATACATATACATATATCTAGAGGTCCCATCTCCCCAAAATTCAGATCCAGCAAATCTGGGAAGGGCACTGAGGCTTTTACATTCTGAAAGGAGTTAACTCTGTAATCAGAACCACTAGATTAAATCATTTAAATGTAAACCCTTCTCGGGCACCTGGGTGGCTGAGTTGGTTAAGCAACTGCCTTCAGCTCCGGTCATGATCCTGGAGTCCCGGGATCGAGTCCCACATCGGGCTCCCTGCTCGGCGGGGAGTCTGCTTCTCCCTCTGACCCTCTTCCCTCTCGTGCTCTCTATCTCTCATTCTCTCTCTCTCAAATAAATAAATAAAAAATCTTAAAAAAAAAATGTAAACCCTTCTCCTCCAACCCATTCTGCTAAGTCTTAACAGTACCTGCTTCCCAGTCCTGCATTACTATTCCTGCCTTTAACCAGGCCCCTTCAATCTATACTAAGAACAATCCTTAAAATATTTGCATCATTTAAGTTGTGGCCATGCTCTGATTCTGCACCTCCAAAGATTTCCAATTGCCACTTCCAAACCAGCACTGTATTGCAGTCTGACTCGAGGAATTTATTTGTGAGGACATGACAGACCATTGCATTCACTGGATGAATACGACGACCCTTACTGAGGTATAAACACCCAGTGGGCCTCCACAAGGGGGAGCTCTGCACATAAAACGTGCTACATAAAGATTCGTAATGATTAGTACAATGGTCCAGAGAATTTAGGACCTTTGGTTGCCACATCTATAACAAATTCAAATTCTTTACTCCACATTTCAAACTTTATTTTGTTCAATTTCTCAAGCCTATCCTTCTACTGCAGTTAAATCATACTCATACAAACAGATGCACTCAGCCTAAGCTCATTCCCATTCACATCGCTGCTCCTGAATTTTTCCCCACTGTGACATCCTGACTCTCATAGCTGCCAAAGCCCTGGTGGTGCATCCTTCAAAGAACAGTTCATACACCACCATCTACAATCTTTTCAGATTTATTACCACCTACAAAACTGTTTACCTATCTGATATTCTGTAGTTTAGCACTGAAAATACACAAGCCAAGAGGAAGCGTAATACTGCTTTATTATAATCAGAGGTCAACACAAAATGTATGTACGATATGTTCGTAACAGAATAATTTATAATTGAAAACTAGGACCAACAACCAAATAGTAAAGTAAATAATGATATGACCATTCAAATGAATATCATCTATTAAAATAGGGGTTTTCAGAGATATTTTTTATTACCATGAGAAAGTACTAATGACATGCTGAGTGGAAAAACAGTGAGGACATAAAACTATATGTATAGTAGGATCCCAATTATATAAAAAATGGGAAATACAAAAAATGTAAATAGGATTTATCTCTACTATATAATTATCGGTGATTTTTATTTTCTTACAGATACTTCTCTAAATTTTCCTAATCTTTGGCAATGAACATATATCAAATTATAATTAGAAAAAAATTATGAAGAATAGATTTCCAAAAGCAAAGTACAGCTGCCATATTTTTAGCCTTTCGCAGCTGTATAATATACCCAGGACTAGATGCTGCTATTAAGATAGACAAACTAATTAGAATTATAGCTGCACTTATTTTAGCTTTCACAGCCACCATATCACTTGGCTGATTCATCCCTCATCTGCTGTGTCAGCGATGGGGACCAGACTCCGTGTCTCCCAGTGCTTCGGGAGAGCACCTGTGTACAGAGAGCACACAGCCTGGATGACCTTCCTAAAGAAGTAAGCTGACCACCAGACATAATAGTACCAACTAAAGATAACAATAACAATAATGAAAATAATAACCTATTTAAAGTGTTTTGGCTAGAACATGAGCTGACATTCAATTATGAATGGTGGCAAACTAGGCTAAAAACTAAAAAGAAAAAAAAAACCTGTTTCTTAGTACAAGAGAATAAAATTCTCTGGATAACAGAAACACAGAAAACTACCTGTCATCTTGCAAAGATATTTAATTAATTGATTTAAGTGAGCTGATTAATTAAATGTTCTGATTTTTAGTCATCATATGTGATTTGCTAATAGTCTTAAAATCATGCTGAATGTCAGTCAACAAAAAAAGAACAAATTATAAAGTCCTTCTGGATTATAACTATCCCAGGGTCACTCGTCTGAACACTAACTAGAATTGTACCACAAGTGAACAGAAGTGATTGCTAATAGATATGTTGGTACAGCCTTCTACCTTATAAATTACACTCAAAATACACACAGAACTACAACCTACAACCAAACAGAAGCAGGCATTTTAAACCCCTTCCTCATATTTTAGAGTGTGTGTGTTTACAAACATGTGCCATTTTTATCTAAGGATAACATTCTTATCCTCAAAGTACCATTTGCAAGGTAAAGATAATTCTATTTCCCTTGAAATTTCGTGGAAAAAAATATGAGCTTCCTAAACATATTCTCTACTTAAATGAGGAAAGATTGGTAGTAACTTTCAGAAAGCCTTTTTAAAATTCAATTTATGCTCAAATAATTATCGTAAATAATTAAAATGAACATTAAATGTTCCCCAAGAAGGTATTTAGTGTCTTTGAATTCTTAACAGCAGAAAACACAAAATCTTAGCAGTCTTTTTAGAATACAGCATTAGCCCAAATGAGCTTTCTTTTCTTTACATTTGAGAACAGACCTTACCGTAGCAAAGTCCCCACAGGGCTACAGAGAAATCTAGTCACATTCCTTATGACCCCTGGATTCTCCTTCAAGCAGTGCATGCAGAAATGGCTACTCTGCAAACAGTATTTCAGCAATTTTTATCTGCCCTATTTCTCCTACCCTCGTTTTCACCTACTGAACTTTAATTTGTATCAACTAACCAATTCTCTAAACTGTCAAAACTGTTTTGAATTATAATCCTGAATTCTAAATTCTGTTCATCTCCAAGATCACTGATGAAAATTCCACGAACTAAAGAGCCCCAGATCGTTCCTATATAAGAAGTGAAAGTTTAAATTAGGTAGCCATTCAGGAGGATACTTCCCTAATGTGTATCAAACACCAAAATACTTATCCCCCTTTGGACCAGCAATACAAGTTCTAAGACCTTAAAAACATGACCAGAGCTACATACAAAGCATTATGCCCACAGATGATCGTATAGGATTATTTATAATTACTAAAACAAAACAAAACCTATCACCGGCTTGAATATCTAACAGATGCATTCAATTGTGACATAATATACAATTGAACTGAAAATGTTTTTAAAATATTTAAAACTATGGGAGAGTATTTCCCACATGATGTTAACTGCAGGGTAAACATAAAACAACAGTAAATTCAGTAAAACTGGAAAATGGGGAGGGGGAATCCAGAGACAGAGACTGATATATTGATAGATTTAGAGATAGAAAGGCGGGGAGGAAAGAGGAAAAGAAAAGAAAGAAGGGAGGAGGAGCAAGGGAGACAGACCAGGGTTATTCACCAAAATACAAACAAAACACTGAGCATGAGTTGAAGAAGTCTGATTTCATTTTCTTGTTTATGCTTTTCTATAGTTTCCAAGTTTTCCACAACAAACATTATGAAATGTGCTATATACAACAGAAAAATTCTTAATACTAATCCTACAAAAATACTCTCTATTCTATATTTTTCAAGTTACAAATCATAGGGAAATGAAGATGAGTTTTGAATGAAGCCTCAAGTCTACACCCATCATGTCATGGTTGTGATGAGAAGCTCTAGCCTGTAGCGCTCACCTCCTCAATTCTAAGAGATCTTCAACTGCAAAACACACCATCAGTTCAACTACAGCTTGGGAGAAGAGGAGGGGTAAGAATGAAATAATAGCACAATCAACATACTCAGAACTTTGAAACTGTCAGAGTGCCTGCAGAATTGAGGAAACACAGTCAATGGAATGAGAATTCTGTCCCCTAAATTCTCTAATCTCCATCTTTGATCAGCTTTCCCCAAATTCCACTAAGCTTGTGGACTTCAGGCCTTTTGTGTCCACATGTAGATACATGCTCCTTCATTCAGATGAATTTGGTGTTCCTTCCACTAACCCAAAGGACACAGTGGATTTTGGAGGTAGGGCAGAAAAACTTTAAAAACTTTCCAATATGAGGGCGCCTGGGTGGCTCAGTTGGTTAAGTGTCTGCCTTCGGCTCAGGGTGAGTTTTGGGATCAAGCCCTGCATCGGGCTCCCTGCTCAGTGGGGAGTCTGCTTCTCCCTCTGCCCCTCACCCCACTCATGCTCTCTCTTTTTCTCTCTCTCATATTCTCTAATAAATAAATAAAATCTTTAAAACATTATTTTAAAAAATTTCCAATATGAGCAACCAGGAAGCTACTAGTCACTGTATTCCCAATGCCATCAACATGGATTGGCAACTAAATATCTGAATGAGTGCATGAGTGAATGAATGAATTAATATATCAATATAGGTCAAGGCAGTAACAGAAGGCTGCTTGGCCAGCTCTTAACCCCAGCTCTCATCAGTAAGTCTTTGTCAATTACATATCAGGGAGCATGGTACTAGAGGAAGAATGGATTAGGAGGGGAATTTAATTAGTTGACCTGAAGGTCACATCAGTCTCTCTTGACTCTGTGACGCACACTTTCTTGACTACTTCCAGTTCTAAACTTATGCCT